TAAACGAGCGCCACAGGTAGTAGGGCCAAATTAATGGTATGCCGTCCGATATCTAAGAAGCCTCATAATATTTACCAATTAATTACTTCATTTAATCACCATAATAGAGAGCTTTTAAATCAAAAGTAAAGAGCTGTTTTTTGGGATGCAAACTTATATTATTTTTAAATTGAATAAAAAAATAATTATAGAGAAAATTAATTTTATATATAACCAATTGATTATAGCTTTTCTTTGTATGTTAAATTTTTTGTTATTTTAGTTGTCAATTCATGAATTAATTGAATAGCAGCATTTAATATTGGAATCATGAAAATGATATATAGTTAGCTTTTTGGGAAGAAGAATCCCCCTTATAAGATTGAATCATTCTTACAGGAGAATTCAATTTAATCACCAGATAAGATTCTTAATTTTCTAAGTGAGCAACTTGGAAACATATGTTAAATTGGTCTCATATAAATCTATGAACTCATTGCTAAATACGAAAGGTATTCATTTTTCCATAGAACAAATTGGATTGATAGTTATTGGTGGAATGAATTTCGACAAATCGTTTGTATTGGTTTATGTTATTACATTAGAAAGATAGTTTCAAATCATGAATATATAAAATTTACAAGACTCAGTCTGATCGAGATTATAAACTAAAAATAAGAAATATTGTCTAATTCATTTTACTACTACTTCAGGACTTTAAATCTTGGTGGAATTGTTTTAGTCTTTTGACAAAAATTACTCAAAGAGAATTATTAAAGAAGTTGCCAGAGCGCATTTCAAAAAATGACATTCCAAAGGAAAACATAATGATAGGTTAATATAGAGTAAGAAAATAAAAAATAGATTAAAGGATTATTTTATAGTTCATATATATCTAGTCTATCCTGCAACTTATTAAAATATAAGACATTATAAGGAGTTTAATACAGCTCCTCTTCAGTCCTAATTTATTTGAAAATATACATAATGAACTGGTATAACTTAATAAAAAGAATTAAATTTATTAATTATGATTTATAGTAGGCGTAATTTGAGAAGTAGTTAGTGGATCGATGGTTGTGCTAACATCTTTGAGAATTTGAGTGACAAAAGAAGATGGAGGTAAATATAAACAACGTAATCTGAGTCCATACCTCTAACACTAATGAAATAGGTTTATTAGATATGGTGCTGAATTACTAATCAATATCCTGGAACATTAATAATATAGATCTATTTTAATAAATGTCATGGAAATATAAAAAACTTTTAGTTGAAATTATAAAATAGATTAGAAATGTAAGAAGGAACTAGAAGAACTCGGTTTATTTTGAAATGGAAATTGTTCACTAATCAATTTTAATGGGAATATAAAGTAAACAGAATATAGGGGACCAAATATGACATTATAGAAAAGATTCAAAAAAAGGTGCATTCAATTATTGGATGAGATCTTAACATTGATCATCGTAAAGATTCCATTCAATTACGATTATATATCTGAATTAATTACTAGAAAAGCAACAATAAAAATAGAATTTGTGGAAGAATTTGTTTATAATTAACTATGGCAAGAATAAAACCGCAAGCATTAAAATATGTAATATTCAGAATAGGATGATGACTACAAACAATTGAATTTCAAAGACTTGCATAATAATATCATTAAATTTAGAACACCGAGATTTGCTGAATGGGATGAGGAATTAAAATAGAAACTTCTAGATTGGAACGAAAAAATAAGAATGCCTTCTACAAATTTTATTGAACGTACAAATCCATTAATGAGAACAAGAAAAAGATTTGAATTAAATAAATGACTCTAAAAAAAATTTTTACACAATTACACCAAAAAAGCCTTCAGAGATATAAAGGATTTTATAAATCGAAAAAATACTAGAAAATATTTTTGAAAGTAGCAAAGAATTATAATAATTTAATTTATCAGAATAGGTTTAGGTTAAATTCGAACTGAAGTACATAATTTGCTCATTTACTCATAACATTTAAAACGCAGTTCTATCATAATGGCGTATTGGGTC